AAAGAATAATACAAACCAACTAATTAACTAACTAACAAGCTAATTAATTATTACACAACCAAAATGAATAACTAGCTACAACTAATTATTACAACACTTAAATAATTAACAAATTAATTAAGCTACGAAAAACAGCAAAGAGGCCTCAAGAAGAGGGACAAATGCATGCTCAGTCGGCTTCGCTCGTTAATCCGTTGCCATGCCTCATGTTCCCTCTGTTTGCACTACTCTGTACCTCTGCAAAGTGTGAAAATTCCCAACACACTTTTGATTCACCCCATGGGCCCTGTGGAAGGCCATCGACCAAAAATCATGGTCATCGGCTAAGATAAACAGGTCATCGACCAAATATGATGCCATCGGCCAAACACTTGTAGCGGACCGGCACTGAAGATAGCCGATCGGCCATCTATTTCTGCAAACTGCTCCTTTTGCTGTAGCAGAGGACAAACAGAGTATGGAAATGCATTTACAAGACAATGTTTGCAACTACACCCTTATCATGTTTAAGACTCAAAGGAGTGTAGTTCTCGACCCTTGGACCATATATCGCGCATTTCAATGCATGATGGCCAAAAGAGTCAAGTGTGCAATTCAATATCAAATGAAATGCACAAAACACATAAAGGACCTTAACGTCTATCATGTGTGATCAAGAGGCAAGGCAATACACACACAATGCTATGCAAACTAAGCATGCAAGCAAGCATGCAAACAACTCAAGCATGCAACAAGTATGCAACAATATTGTGCAATGCAAATAATATACAATAGGTATACGACCTAAACATGTAAAGATGCATAGCATAGATATGTGACAACAATACCAACAACAAGCATGTGACAACATGTAATCTAACAAGTGTGCAAGATGGACGAGCATGCAACAACATGTCAATTAGCAAGCATGTGACAACATGCAATATGACAAGCATGCAACAAGCATGTAAGCATGATGTAAAGTAGCAACTTTGAACAACATGGTAAATGGACTTAAACTAAAGATGGACGGACCTCAGCCATGCCCAAAATCAGTGGCCAAAGTTAAGAATTGGAAGTATGAAAATGCAAAACAAACATATACATGTAAATGGTCCAACACGTAGGCATAGGAGGGTAACTTTCAAAAGCACTTAAAAGGGGACAAACATTATAAGCTCTGAAATCATGCATGGAAAGGTGTCAAACCAACTAAACCAAGCACGCAAAGCATACAAGAAAGCCCAAAGCTTAAGGCTAACGAAGGGACTCAAACCATGGCCACAAGAATCAGGCCCCAAAGGGCCAAGGGCATCCAAAATAGTCCCAAGGCAGGTCAAGACAAGACCAAAAACATGCTCAAAACTAGACAACACAAGCTAGAATACAACTCCAGAAGGCATGAGGCATGCAAGGCTACAAAGGGGTGTTACACCACACCTATCAAAACCAAACATGGCATGAATTATCTAATAAAAAATAGAGTTATGGAATATCAAAATAAGCCCCAAAACCCACTTAGATGGCATCCCAAAGACCTAAGCATGGAGGCATACACAATGGTCCATTCATGAGGCATAAGACATCAACTCTTTAAAGCATTAAAAGAGTGATAATTGCAAGTATATGAGCATGAAACATGAACTGAAATAACATTTCAAATGATGCCAAATCATGATAATAGTCCAAATAAAGCATGCTAGTGACTTGGACACTCAAAGCTAACAAGCTAGAATGCCTTATGGCTATACAAAGCGTGACATATATGATCAAAACAACACAAAATAGAGCTCAAGCATGGTAAAACAAGGCTAAAAGCTTCTTTGAGTTGAGCCAAAACATGCAAGAATGGTAATCTAAACGCAAGATGCATGTTAAGGCAAATGAGAGGATTGCAAGACAAGGACATGAAGCATGTAAGAGCCAACTAAACCCACCCAAGACAAGGACATGAAGCATGTAAGAGTCAACATAAGCTAGAAAGACATGCTCAAACATGAAGCATATAAGAGTAGTTTGTGTGATTTACACTACAAATGAATTAGGCATGCATGGAGTGACAAAACCAATGAAAAACAATGTTGTATCATGGCAAAAAAAAGCCTAATACATACTAAAATGAAGCTAAAACAAGCTAAGCCAGCTTGCTACCAATATAAGCCACTTATGCAAGCATACAAAACAACAAGGAGAGGGGATAACCCTCGCCTATTTAGGACTCCAAAACCAACATTCCACCACTAAAAATCCTTTGGATTTTAGTGGTAGAAAGGTCATGCAAAACCTAAGACAAGGGCCAAAATGGATGGCCTAAAACAAGGCCTAACAAGGCCTTGGAGGGAGGAGATGACCCCCAACCAAAAAGTGACCTTAACCAAAGATTTAAAGCATGTAAAAAAAGAACTTTTATCAGTTAAGAGTTAAGCTCAAAACAATAAGAAAGTAGGCCTAAAAGCTAAAACAAGAATGGGGGTTTAAAAGCAAGTAACTCACCCTTGAAGACCACCTTCAAGAACACTGCTCCAGCAGCCTTCTCTGATCAAAACCAGCCCAAGAACACTAAAATCAACCTCAAGGGACCTCAGCTCCAAGAAGATATAGATACAAAACTATATGTATCACAAAATAAGAACAAACAAGAAGATATAGATACAAAACTATATGTATCACTCAACCCTAAATTTTCTGAACCTCTAGAAAGGGAGGAGGAGCTCCCTCTTTATAGAAGTTCAATTCCTAAGCTTGTTGAAGAAGCTAGAATCTTGGAACAAATTCCTCCATACACGTGTATGGAGGATGTGGATTATGCATGCCAGCTATAACAACGGGCATAAAATATCTGCATAAAGTAGATGAACAGGGCTCGGCCAGAAAATATGGCCGATCGACCAACATAAGTGCCGATTGACCAAAAAAAGTGCCGATCGACTAACACTTTTGGCCAATGGCAAGAAAACAAGGCCGATGGCTTCATGCCTTGGCTGATGGGTTGAAGGGATGGCCAACAAGCCACCCTCTTCCCTCAGAAGCAAAAACACAAGTCCTTGGTCCACAACCAAGCGCAAAACAGATAAGTTGAGAGATCTTGAGGCAAGGCGCGCGGCCGAGACCTCCGGGAACTCAAAACGAACACGAACATGGATGATCATCGAGTGTTCAAACAATGACATCCAAGTCTTGAGAACGGTCAAAAATGGGGTGTCTACACATGGGTTTTCTAAATTTTCCCAAAAAAAACATTTAGGTGGCGACTTTGTATTTGGAAAAACAGTCCATTTTTGGTAATTTGATTTAAAATTGATTTTCCAAAAGATTCGCCGAATTTGGACTCTTTGGTGTTTATCTATTTCACATTGCACTTGTGGAATCAGATTCAGAATCTCGAGAGTCCGACACTGTAGGGCTTATTTTGACTTCTGAAAGGGGCCGTGAAAAAGTCGAGCTACAGGCGCGTTTGGTTCTCAAGTTCGCTTTCCTCCTCTCGCGTGAGACGCTTTTGGATCTCAATTTCCCTTTCCCCCTCTCGCATGAGACGCACTCAGATCTCAAGTGCACTTTCCTCCTCTCGTGTGAGACGCGTTTTGATCTCAAGTTCACTATTCCTCATCTTGCGTAAGACGCGTTTGGATATCAAGTTCACTTTCCTCCTCTGGTGTGAGACGGGTTTGGATCTCAAGTTCACTTTTCTCCTCTGGTGTGAGACATGTTTGGATCTCAGGTTTAACATCCTCCTCTAGCGTGAGACGCGTTTGGATCTCAATTTCACTTTCTTCCTCTTGTGTGAGACGCATTTGGATCTCAAGTTCACTATCCGCCTCTCGTGTGGGACACTTTTGGATCTAAAGTTCACTATTCCTCCTCTCGCGTGAGATGCGTTTGGATCTCAAGTTCACTATTCCTCCTCTCGCGTGAGACGCGTTTGGATCTCAAGTTCACTTTGGTCCTCTCGTGTGAGACGCGTTTGGCTCTCTAGTTCACTAATTCCCCTCTCGGGTGAGACGCGTTCTGATCTCAAGTTCACTTTCCTCCTCTCGCATGACATGTGTTTGGATCTCAAGTTCACTTTCCTTCTCTCGGGTGAGACGCCTTTGGATCTCAAGCTCACTTTCCTCCTTTCGCGTGAGACGCGGTTGGATCTCAAGCTCACTATTCCTCTTTTCGAGTGAGACGAGTTTGGATCTGAAGTTCACTTTCCTCCTCTCGCGTGGGTTGCGTTTGGATCTCAAGTTCACTTTTGCCCTCTTGCGTGAGACGTGTTTGGATCTCAAGTTCACAACTTCTCCTCGAGGGTGAGACGCGTTTGGATCTCAAGGTCACTTTCCTCCTCTTGCGTGTGACACATTTGGATCTCAAATTCACTTTTCTCCTCTCGCGTGGGACACGTTTGGATCTCAAGTTCACTTTTTTTCATCTCGCGTGAGATGCGTTTGGTTATCAATTTCACTTTTATCATCTCGCGAGCAACACGTTTGGATCACAAGTTCACTTTCCTCCTCTCACGTGAGACGCGTTTTGATCTCATGTTCACTTTCCTCCTCTAGCGTGAGACGCGTTTGGATATTAGGTTCACTATTCCTCTTCTCACGTGAGAGTCGTTTGGATATCAAGTTCACTTTCCTCCTCCGGCGTGAGACGGGTTTGGATCTCAAGTTCACTTTTCGCCTCTGTTGAGAGGCACATTTGGATCTCAAGTTCACTTTCCTCCTCTTGCGAGAGACACATTTGGATCTCAAGTTCACTATTTCTCCTCTGCCGGGAGATGTGTTTAGATCTGAAGTTTGCTATTCTTCCTCTCGCGTGAGACGCATTTGGATTTCAAGTTCACTATTTCTTCTCTCGCGTGAGATGCATTTGGATCTCAAGATCACTTTCCTCCTCACGCGTGAGACGGGTTTGGATCTAAAGTTCGCTATTCCTCCTCTCGCGTGACACGCAATTGGATCGCAAGTTCGCTATTCCTCCTCTCGTGTGAGACGCATTTGGATCTAAAGTTTACTTTCCACCTCTCGCATGAGATGCATATGGATCTCAAGTTCACTTTCCTCCTCTCGCGTGAGATGGGTTTGGAGTTCACTATTCCTCCTCTCGGGTAAGATGCGTTTGGATCTTAAGTTCACTTTCCTCCTCTCACGTGGGACTTCTTCGGATCTCAAGTTCACTATTCCACTGCTCGCGTGTGACACGTTTGGATCTCAAGTTCACTATTCCTCCTCTCGCGTGAGACGCCTTTGGATCTAAAGTACACTATTGCTCCTCTCGCGTGAGAAGCGTTTGGATTTCAAGTTCACTTTCCTCCTCTTGCGTGACACATGTTTGGATCTCAAGTTCACTATTCGTCCTCTCGTGTGAGATGCATTTGGATCTTTAGTTCACTTTCCACCTCTTGTGTGAGACGCATTTGGATCTCAACTTCACTGTTCCTCCTCTTGTGTGAGACGCGTTTGGATCTCAAGTTCACTATTCCTCCTCTCGCGTGA